TATATATGATTATACCTAAAGATCACAAGTCAGTTCAGAGCATACCACACAGAACTGGAGCATGAATGGTCATGCTCAATCCAATATGTAACTTCTGGGGGAATGGGGTATCATATACATATAGCCTTTTAGTGGCAGGCTGGACTCACAGTACTATGTGAACAACAGCTTTATTTAATTGTACACCATTCTTTTTTTTCCTTTTTTTTTTTTTTTTTACTTACGAAAAATTAGAATTGGGGCAATGTGAAATTGCAGCTCCACGAAGACTAAAAAGTTTCAGCTCTTCTTCAGAAAGATAACAGGCATGAGCCATCACTGTCTAAAGAAAACAGAATCACTAATTTACTCAATATTGCATTTACTTCAGTGCCTGTGATTTTTGCTGCGCTGCTTTTAATAGCCGAAAGGACACCTGTTACCACCAAGGGAAATTAATGGACTTCTTGAATGAAGCTCTTGAAATCAACAGGGGAGAAACTCTCATTAACTTCAGTATGCTTGACATATCACTCCTTCAGCTCTTTTTCCTTTATTAACGTAAGAAGATAGGGTGCTGACTCTTGCAGTGACTGCTGTGACCTAAGAGCTTCAAGGAACAAAAGCAAGAATTCCCCAGTTGCCCTAGCACTGTAGTAACCTTATGATTTATATTTCGTAGCTAACACAGAGATTAAGCACTGGGACTAGGAGTACATCAGATACAATGGAAGATGTATGTACTCTTAGCATGTTTCCAATTGTCTCTCTAAAGGTTTGCACCAGGTAGATATATATATCTGGAATATTCTTTAATTAAAATAATCTAATTCGTTATGCAACGGATTAATAACTTTTCTTTCTTGGCCTACACAGCTGACTTCAAAAATAAGTTCACAAGCAGTCTAAACAAAACATTGAAGTATAGGATAGTATCATTTAATAGGACATAAACCAATTATTCCCAGACAAATCTACTTGGAATTACCTCATATGCCAAATGCCCACTCAAAGAGAAGAGCAAGAGCTCTGTCAGGCCTTGCAGTCTGCTGATAAAAATGAGAACGGCACAGGGACTGTTTCCACTGAGCATCTCCTAATAGCACTGTACCCTCACCACCTCTACTCATCAAGCTCAAATGTAACTGAAAATGCAATGCGAATAGCTACCTCTTAAGGACGTACATATGGTAGCTG